AAAGGAGTGACTTAGAGGCCAAAGACATCAAGAAAATCATGACAAAAAAAATACTACAGCAAAAACCCAGAGAGCTTAATGAAGTTTATCCAGATTCTGTTATTGTCAGATTCACCTCACTTCCAAAAGAGTAAAAAATCAACACCACAGGTCAGGAATGACGTGATGAAGACAGGACTGATAATGCGTGTGCAGAATGTGCAGAATACGGGGGAGGCGCCCATCTAGCATGGCCCCCGCGAGAGACTATAAAGCACATCTCCGCTGATGAGGCTCAGAGAAGTGAAGGGGCGAAGCCAGGACTTCAGCCCAGGCCTTCTGACCACAAAAGTCCATCATTCTACATAAATGTTTCCGTTTCCTAGCACACAGCCTGGACAGGGGACAGAGCTGGATCAACTTCCCCTTTCTTCTCCAACTCACTCCTCCATTCACCCTACCTGTCCCTTCTCTCTCTCTCTCTCACACACACACACACACACACACACACACAAAGTAAGTTATAAAGCTTCTGTAAGATTCCACATTTCCCTAAGCGAAGGAACATCTACCTCTGAACTTGATCTTCTAATTGACCCTAAAAACTGCTCATTCCCCGCTGCTGTAGCAACTGTCCGGCAAAGCAAACTGAAGTTAGTCTAAACCTTCCTAGAATATCCTCGTTCAGACCAAAATAAACCGGTTCAGCCGGGGGTTACTGATAATAAAACAATAGTCTTATGTGCAATCAATTCATTTCTTTTTCCTGTCTACCAGAAATGAACTCGGAAGCCAACCTAAATGAGTTGTCCTGTGATTGTCCCCAAACAATCCACGGCGCAGGCGAAGGGAAAGCATTTTCCCCAGAAGTCTATGTGGGTAAGCTCTTATAGACAGACCACCACACCATGGAGGGGGCCCAAAGCTCAGCTTATCCTGCTACTGGAACAACATTGGAATTGGGCCTGGTGACCCCTGGTGAGAGCAGCCAGGCATCCTGTCCTCTCCTTTTCACCCTGACAACATACCACCGCCGCAAAAAATAAAAATAAACATAAACATAAAAATCCAGCATGGTTTGCAACTGATTTTAAGCAATTGGTTTGAAATGATCTGGTGAGAGTTATAGACCCAATAAACATAAGACTTGCATTTTGAGATTATCCAGGCCAATAAGTATTTATAAACTGCCTACCAAGTGCTGGGCAACAGGGAAAATAGTCATGAGGTCAATGCTCTGCTGGGGAGATAATTTGAGGAGGGGGCAGATTGGCAAAGGCTTCCTGTAAGAGGTGGCTCCAGGATGGAGCCTTGAAAGAGGGCAAGGATCCATTCTAGGGGACAGCCAGTACAAAGTCATAGAGGCAAGAGATGGAAACCCAAGGTTGGGGAATAAATAGTAAATAGGCTAGTTTGCTTGGAGCATAGCATGTGTAGTGAAACCAGGGCCAGATTTGATCCTGGAAGCGATAGGGAGCTTCAGCCAGTTCTCAAGCGAGGGGACTAAGGTCAGACCTATGCTTTGGGAAGATTATTTTTTAAAATTAATTAATTTATTTTTAGTTTTGAACATTCACTTCCGTAAGCTTTTGAATTTTAAATTTTCTCCGCCTCCCTCCCCTCATTCCTCCCCAAGATGGTGCGCAATCTGATATAGGCTCTACATATACATTCCTATCAAACAATTTTCACATTAGTCATGTTGTAAGGACGAATTAGAACCCATAAGATGAGCCACAAGAAAGAGGAAACAAGGGGCTGCTAGGTGGCGCAGTGGATAGAGCACCGGCCCTGAAGTCAGGAGGACCTGAGTTCAAATCCAGCCTCAGACCAAAACACTTGACACTTTGACACTTACTAGCTGTGTGACCCTGGGCAAGTCACTTAACCCTGATTGCCTAAGAAAAACAAAAAACAAAACAAAACAAAACAAAAAAACAAAAACGAAAGAGGAAACAAAACACAACAGAAGGAAAAAAAAAGAACAAATGGTATGCTTCGATCTGTATTCAGACTCCATAGTTCTTTCTCTGGATGTGGATAGCATTTTCCATCAAGAGACTTTTGGAGATGTCTTAGATCCTTGCATTGTCGAGAAGGATCAAGTCTATCAAAATTAGTCATCGCTCAACGTGGCTGTTACTGTGTACAATGTTTTCCTGGTTCTGCTCACTTCACTCACCATCAGACCATACAAGTCTTTCCAGGTTTTTCCAAAGTCGGCCTGCTCAGCATTTCTTACAGCACAATAGAATTCCATTATATTCATATACTACAACTTGTTCAGCCATCCCCCAGTTGATGGGTATCCCCTCAATTTCCAATTCTTTGCCACTACAGAAAGAGCTGCTATAAATATTTGTGTACATGTACATGTGGGTCCTTTTCCCATTTGTACGATCTCTTGGGGATACAGCCCTAGCAGTGGTATTGCCACGTCAAAGGGTATGCACATTTTTATAGCCCTTTGGGCATAGTTCCAAATTGCTCTCCAAAATGGTTGGATCATTTCACAACTCCACCAACAATGCATTAGTGTTCCAATTTTCCCACATCTTCTCCAATATTTATCGTTTTCCTGCTTTGTCATGTTGGCCAATCTGATAGGTGTGATGTGGTACCTCAGAGTTGTTTTAATTTGCATTTTTCTAATCAACAGTGATTTTAGAGCATTTTTTTCATATGACTATAGATGGCTTTAATTTCTTCATCTGAAAAATGCCTGTTCACATCCTTTGACCATTTATCAATTGGGGAATGACTTATATTCTTATAAATTTGACTCAGTTCTCTATATATTTGAGAAACGAGGCCCTTCTCAGAGAGACTGGTTGTAAAAATTCTCTCCCAGTTTTCTGTTTCCCTCCTAATCTTGGTTGGGAAGATTATTCTGGCAAGCATGTATTGGATGAATCAGAGAAGGTAGAAACCAGAACTTGGGAGTACACTTAGAAGGCTGTTGCAGTTAGCCCAGGAGAGACATGATGGAACTCTAGATAAAGATAATGGCTCAGTGAGAAGAAGAGTGGCTCAGGGAAGGGAAAGGCATCTGGATTATCTAGTCTCACCCCTCATTTTTAGAGGTGAACAACGTAAGACCCAGAGAAATGAAGGCACTAGGCCGAAGTCACACAGGTGGATAGCAAGCCACACAGCCAAGGTTCCAAAACAGGGTCTTTGATCCCATTTATTGATCTATCCATGGGATTGCAACAGCTCAGCTGAACTTAGCACCCGTGGCTAAGCCTTGGATAGCCATCGCCATTTTTTTTGGTTTCCTCTCTCTTTTATTTTTCCTTCTTATTCAGCTTTCAAGATTCTAAAGCCTAAAACCTTAAATCTAGACTCTACATCTCATGGCAAGTCCCCACAGGTCCCAAACCCAACCATCGGCACTCAAAGTCGCTCAAAGTTCATGGCGCTGAAAAGCCACCAGGAGATCACTCCCATCTCTACCCACAATCCCCTCAACTGTTTGCAAACATAGTCACATTTTAAACTAATGGCTCCAGCAACTGAGCATGAGTCCAATGGCCAGAATGACGTTTCCCCTCAAGTTTAATGCCCTCCCTGATCTGGCTCCTCTCTTCACTTCTTAGGAATCGGCTTCACACGCCCTCTATCCAGGCAAAGTGAATCACCCGCCATTTCCTGAGTGGAGCCTTCCACCTCCCACAAGCACCCCCTCCACTTCTAGGACGTACTTTTTCCTCACTTCTGCCTAAAAGTATCATTTTCTGCCTTCAAGGCTCACCTCAGAGGCCACTTCATGGAGTTCTCCCAGATTGCCTCCAATTGTTAGTGAGCCTACCCTCTTTTTTTTTTTTAAACAGATATCATGAAAGACTTTTTTAATTTAAAATTACTTTTTACTTTTAAAATTTTTATTAAATTTTGAACTCAAAAATTTCTCCCTCCTTCCTGACCCTCCCCTACTCATTAAGAAAGCAAGAAATATGCTATCAACTACACACGCAAATTTGTTCACCCTCCTTAATCAACTTTGCAGTAATTAACCTGCATGTATGTCACCTCACCAGCAGAACGGGGGCCCTTTGAGGACGGGGACCGCTTTATTTTTGTCATGTATTTAATAAAGTGTTTAGGTGCTGCAGTGTAGACAGCATCAGGCCTGGAGTCAGGAAGACCTGAGTTCAAATCTAGTCTCACTTACTACCTGTGTGACCTTGGGCAAGTCCCTTAACCCTGTTTACCTCAGTTTCCTCATCTGTAAAATGACCTGGAGAAGGAAATGGGAAAGCACTTCAGTATCTTTGCCTAGAAAATCCCAAATGGGGTCACAGAGAGTCAGACATGACTGAAACCACATGGCAGCAGTAATAAACTGTTGTTGAGTTCAACTGAATTAAACTGACTTCCTAGAATCAGAAGGGGAGGCTGCAAGCACTGGATTTGGAGTTCAGGACCTGGGTTCGAATCCCAGCCCTGACATGTATTACTTAACTGTGTGACTGTGGAAAAATCACTTTCTACCTCTGGGTCTGAGTCTCTTCTTTTGGAGAATGAGGGGTTAAGACTATATGTCATCTAAAATTCCTTTCAGTTCTAAATTATAATGATATAATCCCCCCAGAGCATTCATGTGTGGTGCTAGTCTCAGATTTCCAAGAGATCCTTCTCAGAAGTATCTTGTTTTTATCCTTATTTTTTAAAATACACGTTTTCATTCTTTTTTTTCTAAATGTTTTCATTTATCTTGCCAAAATTTATGTTGATATCTTTTGTTTTTACATCATGTACATTTCCCAATAAATCTATTCCTCTATTTTATTCTAAGACAATGAGTTCCAAGGGAAAATCAGAACTCGTTCAATATTAAGCAGGACCAAACAAAATGCCCACATCAGGCAGGGCTAGAATTAGAGGTTCCAGTGCCACGACACCCCATTTTAGGAGAGGGAGCCTCCCCAGAGTCAGAGCTCCAGGAAGTAATGGAGGGATGGGAGTGTCTTTGCCAGGAAAGGGCAGCACTAGGGGAGCCCAAAGGCTGGGACACTCACCTTACATCCCTCACAAGCGCTGACGCCATAGTGATAGCCCGATGACTTGTCCTGGCATACGAAACAGGGCTTGTAAACACGAGGAGGAGGGAGTGGAGAAGGGGGGCTGGGGACGAGCTCCTCAGAACTGGTGCTTTGTGTTTCAATAGCTGCAAAAGAAGTTTTAAAAAAAGACATTTTTAATTCATTTCATCAATAAAACACACTTCATTGCTTCTAATCTTATCAGAAGTTTTTACAAGCTGGGGCCAGAAAGAGGTTGTGATGGACAGTGGTGTTCAAGGTCTCTATAAGGACCCTTCTGTAGCACCTGGCTCAGTCACATATGCATCGTGTGACCTTAGTCACTAACTCCTTTGAGCAGCTGTTTCTCTTTTAAGTTTATTAGTTATTTAAGTCTTTTATTTATTTACCATTTATGTCTTTCATTTTTATATCATTTTCAGAGATATCACCCTCCTTCCCTTAAAGATTTATAAATTATTTTTAATAAACATTTTCCCTCACCTGAAAAAAAAGAGGGAAAAGCAATCTTCCCTAGTAACAACAAAGAACAGTCAAGCAAAAATAGCCGTCCCGTGATCACGTCTGACAATACGCGCAGCCTTCTGACTCTCTGCCTACAGAATGGAGGCCATTCCCTGGTACCATTATTGTTTTACCAGTTACTCAAAGTCTCGCTTGAACCTCAATTCCTTCATCTCTACATTACGGATTACAATCATTTATGTTTATAACAATAATTATTGTTTAAATTGTTTAAAATTAAAATGTTTTTTTAAAAGTGAGTTTAAATTAACAATAATTTGAGTCTGAGCCTTCACTTATCCTCTAAGTGCCACAAGCGACTCACAGGACTTATTGACTTAAGTCATAGATGGGCCATGATCTGTGCTGGGGGAAGGAGTTTCCACACCAGGAGTTCTCCTGCTACTAAAGTCACGGATCCTTCCTTTATTCATGTGCAGAGCATTTTAAGGTCTGCAGAACACTTCGCTTATACCCACCCTGTGAGGGACAGAAAAATGCAGGATGAGAGTTAGAGCTGTAACCCTAGCTCCACTCCATTATCAGCGAGAGAATATTATTTACCCCCATTTTGCAGAGGATAAAAATGAGGCCCTGAGAAGTTGAGTGTCTCTCTCAAGGTCATACAGAGTCTGGGAATCGGGCCCAGGTCTCTTGACTCCCCGTTGGCCTTGTCATACTAAAATGAGTTAGTATATGTGGAAGTGTAAGCTTTAAGAGAAAGTGAAAGTTATAAAACATGAATGTCCAAACAAAAGTCAAGGATTATCATTTATAATGAGCCGATATTTAGAGAGGACATTTTATCAGTTCAGGGTCTCGCAAAGTGCTTGACATCACTTATCTGAGCGGATGCTCCCAAGAGCCCTGCTGGGCAGGAACTACTAACATCTTTGTTTTACAAGGGAGGAAACTGAGGCTGAGGAATGAAAAGTGACTTGCTCTAGATCACACGGCTACTAAGTGTCAGAAGTGGGATTTGAACCCAGGTCTTCATGGCTCCATCCTCTACGCTACCCTACGCCATGCTTAGGAGCCTGTGTTTCCGTCTCTGTTAGTTTCTTCAGAAGACTTTCAACCAGCCTATAAGTGTGCCCTGGGCGTGGGCAAAGCAGACACCGTTTTCTTTTGGCTTCTTACTGCTCTGGGGGCTTTTTTTCTTCTTTAACTGAATTATTATTTCTTTGGTGTGGGGAACTCCCAGTAAGGGACTCTGTCTGTCTGTCTGTCCATCCCCCTACCCTCCTAACTCTGCATCTCTCTCTTTTTCTCTCTCTCTCTCTCTCTCTCTGTCTCTCTCTCCCTCCCTCCCTCTCCTTTTCTCTTTCTTCTGTCTCTCCCTCTCTCCCTCCCTCCCTGCCCCTCCTTTTCTCTTTCTTCTGTCTCTCCCTCTCTCCCTCCCTCCCTCCCTCTTGTTTGACTATACTTGTCTGTTGTATAAGGATTTTTTTCTTTGTTGTTAGGGAGGGAGAGAGTTTGGAAGGAAATCAAAGTTTGCAATTGTGTTGATCCCTCCCCTCTCACCCCAAAAAAGAAAAGAAGGTCACTAAAACAGTTTTTAAATGCACAGAAGTCAGAAGGAAACCCGGACAAGCTGGACAGCTGCGAAAGTAACATGCTGAATTTTTATAAACATATATATATATATATAATTTTTACGCATATATACATATTTCTAAAGCCAGTTTTGTGTAATAGAGATTCATGTTTTCATATACAAATCTCTTTTCCTGTTCCCACTCTGTATATGGATGTATTATCTTTTTTTTTTGATGCTTGTTAAATTCCGAATAAAATTCATTTTAGAAAAAGGGTAGAAGCCTTTTCAGTGTGGGGGTTGGTGCTGCTCAGCAGGGCACCCCGGCTGCAGAATGAGGGGACTCATCAATGCAGGAGGAACAAGGAAGGAGTGCAATGTGGTCCCAGGGCCTCCCAGCCCCAGAAAACGCCCCTCATCTACGGCTCTCCGCTCTTGTCTCCCCAGAGCAGATCATCTCCAGTCCTTTGCTGTTTCTGTGACCCTTCGGCTTGGCTGCCCGGCTTCCCACGTGGCACACTCCTGGTTCGGCAAATGCACTGGAGTCCAGGTTCAGTCCCACCACTGCTGAGGACTCCCAGCTTGGAATGGGAACACGGCTGGAGGTGGCTTCCACTGACTGTTAGGATTGAGGTAGAAGGCCCTCCCATGTCTTTTCAGGAGGGCCTAAATCCATCCCACTACCCTGATGGGTAACTAGGGTGGGTCTGCTCCACAGAAGCTTTAGCCCAGAAAAGGAAATTCAGGCGGCTCCCATAGCACCCCTGGAGAGCACGCCCCTCACTTCAGCTTCTCTCTGCCCTGCCCCCCATCCCCACCCTCACCTCTGTCCCCCTCTAGAGTAGAGGCGCTGACCTCATCCTGGAGTATCCCACCTCCTACCCTCCAGGAGTAGCCAGCCTGCCAGAAACAGACACACCTTTCAACATCCCCTCCCACACATGACACTTGTCCCAGGTCTATAAATTCTCTGCTTATGGCCATTATGTTTTTTTTTTTTCCTACGTTTCCTTACGTGCTTCTCTAACTGAGATGCAAGCCAAGAGACGGTATGGGGTAGCAAATAGAAGCCTGCTAAGACCTGGGTTCAAATCCTGCCTTTGCTAGATAACAGCCGTGTGACCTTGGACAAGTTATTCAGCCCCTCTGTGGCCTAGGTAACTCTTTAAGATTATAAATGACAAATGATCAGCATTGGTGGAAGGGCTTTCCACACCAGAAGTTCCCTCTACTGAAGAAATCACTGCTGCAGACAATTCCCTCCCCTCTCTCTCCCCAAAAAGAGCCGACATGATCTACCATTTTCCTTCCTTTTCCCTCTTATTCCCAGCCCTGGCTGAACCATCTGCTGCCTCTGCTTGACAGGGCGCTAGGCTGGGGAAGACGGAGAAAACGACGGATGACTAAATTAGATGCTGGGTAGCTTTTCCAATCTGACCATTTGCTCACTTGAAAACATAATTGACTCAGAAGGAGAAACATTTTATTGCCTTTCTCTGTTTGGGAAAAATGCCATTTTTATGATGGACAACATTGCCGCTGCTACTCATTTCACAATTCAGTCTGTTTCAGCGGGGAATCCGGAGGGGAAGAGGATTGAATGTGGGGTGAAATCCTGACTTGAGTTCAAATCCTGACCCTGAGCAAGTAAGCTAATCTCTCTGGGCTTCCAATTCCTCACCTGTAAAATGAAGAGCTTGGATGGTACTTCTGAATTAATCTTCCTTCTCAGATCTATCTGATGAACAACTCAGTGTCAATATTTAGTAAATATTACAGTCTGGTGTAAACTGATTATAAAAGCACAGGCTTTGCCAGATAAATAAACTTCAATAATCTATTGTTAGGATGGAAATCTCTCCTGAATAGTCAGTCATTTATTCATTCATCAAACATGTGAGCACCAAGTATCTGCCCAACTGCTGCCTGCTATGGAATAATAAGCGGCCTTTATAGAAGTCAAGTCAACATTGATTTATTAAGCGCCAGTCACCCTGCCACGTGCTGGGATGCGAAGAAATGCAAAAATGGTCCCTGCCCTCACGGAATTAAAAAGTCTAGGGTGGGAGCTGAACCACTCAGTGCAAATAAGACATACACAGAATAAAGTGGATATCACCTGGGAGGAGAGGCGTGAGCATTACAGGAGATTGGGAAAGGTGTAGTGTTAATGTTTGAAAAGCGCTCTGCTGAGCTTCCTTGTAAGGGAAAGACTAGTAAGAATAATATCCCCATTTTAGAGATGAGGAAACTGAGGCTGAGTAAAGGTAAGAGACTTGCCCAGGGTCACACAGCTAAGAAGTGTCTGAGACTGGTTTTAAATCCAGGTCTAGCCCGCTTCCAAGTCGAACATTGTCCACTACAGTCCAGTGTTTAGACCACCCTGTCTACTAAGTTACCACTACATAGAGAATTCGTAAGCTGCACCTCATCAGTTACTTAGAAGATAATGATACTACCACTACCACCAATAATGGCTACTCTGGCTTTCATACTCATTCTCATTTTTCTGACAGAGCTAAAACATTTTTATTGCTATTATTTCTAGCATACACCAGAACCACTGGAAATCTGTCTGATCTGGGTGCAAATCCTGCGTCAGACACTTCCTAGCTGCATGACCCTGGGTCAGTCACCTACCTCCCCTCAATCTCAGTTTCCTCATCTGTAAAATGGAGATAGTAACAGCACCCACTTCCCAGGGTTGATGTGAAGAGCAAATAAGATGTTGTGTGTAAAGACACTTTGCACATCTTAATATAAATGCAAACCATTGCTACCCTTATTGCTACTGTATGGGATCGGTTTTTTCTATATTAGCTTAAAAATCTCATGAAAAATCTGATGCAGGAATTTTGATGATGTGGTTTGTCAGGAAAACCCTAAAGTTCTCTTAAAGTATAATTTTAGAGTCAAGTCGATGGTCTGAATTTTAAAGTCCGGTTCCTGATTGTCATTACGATGATATAGGAAGCAAAGAGAGTCTATAGCTTTTCTCCCTTCAAAGAAAAAGGGGGAGAACTTAGAATCTCCAAGGGTTTGGAAGGGTAATCAGAAGAAATAGCCTCCCTGTGACTCAGTTTC